TTATTATACTCAAAGGGATATTCAATGTCAGTTTTTTTTTTTTTTTTTTACCCATCTACCAATCGGTGCCCTTCTTTGCGAGGCATTGGAAAACCTCCCTGGTCTTTGTGGTTAAATCTGTGTTTGAAATTCACTGCTTGACTGAGGGATAATTGTATGTGTGGGGTACTGAGATGAGGTAGTCATTCAAAAATCATGTTAAGCACTATTATTGCACACAGAGTAAATCCATGCAACTTATTATGTGACTTGTTAAGCACATTTTTACTCGTGAACTTATTTAGGCTTGCCATAACATAGGGGTTGAATGGTTATTGACTCAAGACATTTCAGCTTTTAATTTGTAATACATTTCTAAAAATTTCTAAAAATGTAATTCCACTTTGGCATTATGGGATATTGTGTGCAGGCCAGTAACACAAACTCTCAATTTAGTCCATTTTAAATTCAGGGTGTAACACAACAAAATGTGGAAAAAGTCAAGGGGTGTGAATACTTTCTGAAGGTTTTGCCACGGCAACAATCAACAGCAAATACAACACACAAATTGATTAATTTAGGTAATGGTTTTGATAAACACACTGTGACAAATTATCTTGTAAAAAAAGTTTGAAATGTATGAAGTTTGATTGAATTTCTATACAGTACCGTCGATAACATTAAAAAAGGGGATTTTTAAATATAAACTATTAGCAGCCCACTGATTGAATCAACGTTGTTTCCATGTCGTTTCAATGAAATTATGTTTAACCAACATGGAATAGACGTTGAACTGACGTCTGTGCCCAGTGGGAGAGCATTGTCAGGCACAAGTCATGTAATCAAAGACAACTGTTGGCGCAATTATTAGAAAATTGAAGAAGTTCAAGATGACGGTCATTCACCCTCGGTCTGGGGCTCCATGCAAGATCTCACCTCGTGGGCCATCAATGATCATGAGGAAGGTGAGGGATCAGCCCAGAACTACACGGCAGGACCTGGTCAATGACCTGAAGAGAGCTGGGACCACAGTCTCAAAGAAAACCATTAGTAACACACTACGCCGTCATGGATTAAAATCCTGCAGCGCACGCAAGGTCCCCCTGCTCATGCCAGCGCATGTCCAGGCCCATCTGAAGTTTGCCAATGACCATCTGGATGATCCAGAGGAGGAATGGGAGAAGGTCATGTGGTCTGATGAGACAAAAATATAGCTTTTTGGTCTAAACTCCACTCGCCATGTTTGGAGGAAGAAGAAGGATGAGTACAACCCCAAGAACACCATCCCAACCGTGAAGCATAGAGGTGGAAACATCATTCTTTGGGGATGCTTTTCTGCAAAGGGGACAGGACGACTGCACCGTATTGAGGGGAGGATGGATGGGGCCATATATCGCAAGATCTTGGCCAACAACCTCCTACCCTCAGTAAGAGCATTGAAGATGGGTCGTGGCTGGGTCTTCCAGCATGACAACGACCCGAAACACACAGCCAGCGCAACTAAGGAGTGGCTCCGTAAGAAGCATTTCAAGGTCCTGGAGTGGCCTAGCCAGTCTCCAGACCTGAACCCAATAGAAAATCTTTGGAGGGAGCTGAAAGTCCGTATTGACCAGCGACAGCCCTGAAACCTGAAGGATCTGGAGAAGGTCTGTATGGAGGAGTGGGCCAAAATCCCTGCTGCAGTGTGTGCAAACCTGGTCAAGACCTACAGGAAACGTATGATCTCTGTAATTGCAAACAAAGGTTTCTGTACCAAATATTAAGTTCTGCTTTTCTGATGTATTAAATACCTATGTCATGCAATAAAATGCAAATGAATTACTTAAAAATCATACAATGTGATTTTCTGGATTTTTGTTTTAGATTCCGTCTCTCACAGTTGAAGTGTACCTATGATAACAATTACAGACCTCTACATGCTTTGTAAGTAGGAAAACCTGCAAAATCGGCAGTGTATCAAGTACTTGTTCTCCCCACTGTACATTTTATGGACACAGTCAATTTTACAATGATTCTGTTTTGTTTTTACTCCTGAACTTCCTCTACCCTCAACCTCTCCGATCATTTTCATGATGTCCATCCGGTTTGCTTCTATATGCCATATTTACATTTTAGTCATTTAGCAGACGGTCTTATCCAGAGCGACTTACAGGAGCAATTAGGGTTAAGTGCCTTGCTCAAGGGCACATCGACAGATTTTTCACCTAGTCGGCTCGGGGATTAGAACCAGCGACCTTTCGGTTACTAGCACAACGGGGGACTTGGGGATTGTGAAGAGACCTCAATGCATTTTATGCAGGCGTTTGACAATATCAACACTGTGCCGTTCATGAGGGCCCCCACCGACTCAGAGGATTGGGTGATCTCGCTCTCTGAGGCCGACGTGAGGGCGCGTTCTAAGAGCAGACATATTTACAGTAATTTTCAACCTCTCCTTGTCCCAGTCTGTAATCCCCACATGTTTTAAGATGACCACCATCATTCCTGTCCCCAAGAACTCTAAGGCTTCATGTAACAATGACTACCGCCCTGTAGGCACTCACTCCTGTAAACATGAACAACATCTTAATTGCACTCCACACTGCCCTCACCCACCTAGATAAGAGGAATACCTATGTGAGAATTCTGTTCCAACACGATTGTCCCCTCCAAGCTCGTCACCAAGCTTAGGACCACGGGACTGAACTCCACCCTCTGCTACTGGGTCCTGGACTTCCTGACGGGCCGCCCCCCCAGGTGGTGAGGGTAGGCAACATCATCTCCGCCACGCTGACCCTCAACACGGGGAGGGCCCCCTCAGTCGTGCGTGCTTAATCCCCTCCTGCACTCCCTGTTCACCCACGACTGCGTGACCACGCACGACTTCCAACACCACCATCAAGTTTGCTGACGATACGACGGTGGTAGGCCTGATCACCGGCGACGATGAGACAGCCTATAGGGAGGAGGTCAGAGGTCAGAGACCTGGCAGTGTGGTGCCGGGACATCATTAAGACCAAGGAGCTGATCGTAGACGACAGGAAACAGGGGGGACGAGCACGCCCCCGTCCACATCGACGAGGCTGCAGTGGAGCGGGTTGAGAGCTTCAAGTTCCTCAGTGTCCAAATCACTAAAGACTTTAAAATGGTCCACTCACACGCGCACAGTGGTAAAGAAAACGCGACAGCGCCTCTTCCCCTTCAGGAGGTTGAAAAGGTTTGGCATGGGCCCTCAGATCCTCAAAAAAGGTATACAGCTGCACCGTTGAGAGCATCTTGACTTGCTGCATCACCGCTTGGTATGGCAATAGCACCGCTTTCGATCGCATGGCGCTACAGAGTGTGGTGTGGACAGCCCAGTACATCACTGGGGCCGAGCTCCCTGCCATCCAGGACCTCTATATCAGAGCTCCCTGCCATCCAGGACCTCTATATCAGAGCTCCCTGCCATCCAGGACCTCTATATCAGAGCTCCCTGCCATCCAGGACCTCTATATCAGAGCTCTCTGCCACCCAGGACCTCTATATCAGAGCTCCCTGCCATCCAGGACCTCTATATCAGAGCTCCCTGCCATCCAGGACCTCTATATCAGGGTGGTATGAAAGGAAGGCCTGGAAAATCGTTAAAGACTCCAGCCACCCAAGCCATAGACTGTTCTATCTACTTCCGCACGGCAAGCGGTGCCGGAGCATCAAGTCTGACAGCAACAGGCTCCTGAACAGCTTCTATCCTCAAGCCATAAGACTGATAAATAGCTAACTAAATGGCTTCACAGACAATCTGAGATGACCTTTGTATTTTATTCAATTTTCTCAAGTCTTTATTCAAGTCTCTATGCAGACTCACACTCCAACACACACACAAACACTCACTATATCATTTGCTCACACACACATAATACGCACATACATTTATACTGACTCTACACACACACACACACATACAATCATCATATACACTGCTGCTTCTCTGTTTATCATATATCCTGATGCCGACTTCTATCGCTCCAGTATCCCTGCACATTGTTAATATGGTACTGGAACTGACCATGTATATAGTCACCTTACCCCTATACATATCTACCTCTATCGCTCCAGTATCCCTGCACATTGTTAATATGGTACTGGAACTGACCATGTATATAGTCACCTGACCCCTATACATATCTACCTCCATCACTCCAGTATCCCTGCACATTGTTAATATGGTATTGAACTGACCCTGTATATAGTCACCTTACCCCTATACATATCTACCTCTATCACTCCAGTATCCCTGCACATTGTTAATATGGTATGGAACTGACCCTGTATATAGTCACCTGACCCCTATACATATCTACCTCCATCACTCCAGTATCCCTGCACATTGTTAATATGGTACTGGAACTGAACCTGTATATAGTCACCTTACCCCTATACATATCTACCTCTATCACTCCAGTATCCCTGCACATTGTTAATATGGTATTGAACTGACCCTGTATATAGTCACCTTACCCCTATACATATCTACCTCCATCACTCCAGTATCCCTGCACATTGTTAATATGGTATTGGAACTGACCCTGTATATAGTCACCTTACCCCTGTACATATCTACCTCCATCACTCCAGTATCCCTGCACATTGTTAATATGGCATGTGACATTAAAAACGTGAATGTTGATACTCACTGTGTGCAGGCCATGAGCAGTATGGCGAGGCAGCTGATGCTGGAGAGGACCACAGCTATGACGACCAGGACAGTCTGAACCACCTCAGCTCTGCTGCTCTCCTCCTTGTTTCTCGTAGGCAGGAGCAGGATCCCACAGCGCTCGCCGTCATAACCTTTGTTACACCTGCAGGGGAGAACGGTCAATCAATTAATGAATCAGTCAGTCAGATAGTCAACCAAACAGTCAGTCAGTCAATTAGTCTATTCTTCCTTCCTTCCTTCCTTCCTTCCTTCCTTCCTTCCTTCCTTCCTTCCTTCCTTCCTTCCTTCCTTCCTTCCTTCCTTCCTTCCTTCCTTCCTTCCTTCCTTCCTTCCGTCCTTCCTTCCTTCCTTCCTTCCTTCCTTCCTTCCTTCCTTCCTTCCTTCCTTCCTTCCTTCCTTCCTTCCTGCCTGCCTGCCTGCCTAACTGCCTTCCTTCCACACACACACACACACACACACACACACACACACACACACACACACACACACACACACACACACACACACACACACACACACACACACACACACACACACACGTGTTGTACTCACATACACACTGGCTCTCTCAGGTCTGCCATGTACTTGCAGTGTCCATGGATACAGTAGCCCTTGTGGGAGGAGCTACAAGGGTCCTCTGTGACACGCCCTGACGTCTGTTGTGTGTGTCCTGATGACATGTGTCCTGACGACGTGTGTTCAGGGTTGGAGTCTGTGGTGTTCTTACTCTTCCTCTTCCTCTTCCTCTTTCCTTTATTCCCTTTTCCTTTCTGACTCCTCCCCTTCTCTTGTTGCTCCTTACCGTGACGCAGCACTGCTGGGAAACCACAGGGTTATTATCCTGATTATTACAGCTGGGAGACAGATAGGAAACCACAGGGTTATTATCCTGATTATTACAGCTGGGAGACAGATAGGAAACCACAGGGTTATTATCCTGATTATTACAGCTGGGAGACAGATAGGAAACAGATGGGAGAGAGGGGGAGACAGATAGGAGAGAGATGGGAGAGAGGGGGAGACAGATAGGAAACAGATGGGAAACAGATGGAAGAGAGATGGGAGCCAGATGGGAGCCAGATGGGAGAGAGATGGGGGAGAGGGGGAGACAGATGGGAGAGAGGGGGAGACAGATGGGAGAGAGATGGGGGAGAGATGGGAGAGAGATGGGAGAGAGATGGGAGTCAGATGGAGAGATGGAGGCAGATGGGAGTCAGATGGGAGTCAGATGGAGAGATGGAGGCAGATGGGAGTCAGATGGGAGTCAGATGGAGAGATGGAGGAAGATGGGAGTCAGATGGAGAGATGGAGGAAGATGGGAGTCAGATGGGAAACAGATGGAGAAGGATGGAAACAGACGGAGACAGATGGAGAGATGGAGCCAGATGGGAGACAGGCTCTACTAGGGGTAGGGGCTGTCTGCTAGGGGGTACTAGGGACTACTATGGGTAGGGGAAAGGGGTAAGGGGGAGGGGTTATCAGACAGTCCTACCTTGGGGTGAGCCGTCTGTAGGTGTTCCTCCCGACAGATCTTCATCAAGCTCCAGTTCCTCTTCATCCTCATCACCCAGAGAGCTCTGTAGCCCCTCCCCTTCCCCTGAGGCCGACGCCCCCGTCACATGGCTCAGCCCCGCTGAGAATGTCACTGCGGATCCCAGGACACCTAGAGCGCTGAAAACTACAATCAGACCACACCAGTCAAACACAGAGCGCTGAAAACTACAACTACAACACCCCAGTCCAACACAGAGCGCTGAAAACTACAACCAGACCACACCAGTCCAACACAGAGCGCTGAAAACTACAACCAGACCACACCAGTCCAACACAGAGCGCTGAAAACTACAACCAGAACACACTAGTCCAACACAGAGAAAGAAAAAATGGAAACTACAACTAGACCACACCAATCAGACACAGACCAGAGTACTGAAAGCTACAACTAGACCACACCAATCAGACACAGACCAGAGTACTGAAAAACTACAACTAGACCACACCAATCAGGCACAGACCAGAGTACTGAAAACTACAACTAGACCACACCAATCAGGCACAGACCAGAGTACTGACAACTACAACTAGACCACACCAATCAGACACAGACCAGAGTACTGAAAACTACAACTAGACCACACCAATCAGACACAGACCAGAGTACTGAAAACTACAACTGGACCACACCAATCAGACAGAGACCAGAGTACTGAAAACTACAACTAGACCACACCAATCAGGCACAGACCAGAGTACTGAAAACTACAACTAGACCACACCAATCAGACACAGACCAGAGCACTGAAAACTACAACTAGACCACACCAATCAGGCACAGACCAGAGTACTGAAAACTACAACTAGACCACACCAATCAGGCACAGACCAGAGTACTGAAAACTACAACTAGACCACACCAATCAGACACAGACCAGAGCACTGAAAACTACAACTAGACCACACCAATCAGACACAGACCAGAGTACTGAAAACTACAACTGGACCACACCAATCAGACAGAGACCAGAGTACTGAAAACTACAACTAGACCACACCAATCAGGCACAGACCAGAACTGAAAACTACAACTAGACCACACCAATCAGGCACAGACCAGAGTACCAAAAACTACAACCAGAATTCTCCAATCATACATACAGTGGGGAAAAAAGGATTTAGTCAGTCACCAATTGTGCAAGTTCTCCCACTTAAAAGATGAGAGAGGCCTGTAATTTTCATCATAGGTAAACGTCAACTATGACAGACAAATTGAGAATTTTTTTTCCAGAAAATCACATTGTAGGATTTTTAATGAATTTATTTGCAAATTATGGTGGAAAATAGGTATTTGGTCACCTACAAACAAGCAAGATTTCTGGCTCTCACAGACCTGTAACTTCTTCTTTAAGAGGCTCCTCTGTCCTCCACTCGTTACCTGTATTAATGGCACCTGTTTGAACTTGTTATCAGTATAAAAGACACCTGTCCACAACCTCAAACAGTCACACTCCAAACTCCACTATGGCCAAGACCAAAGAGCTGTCAAAGGACACCAGAAACCAAATTGTAGACCTGCACCAGGCTGGGAAGACTGAATCTGCAATAGGTAAGCAGCTTGGTTTGAAGAAATCAACTGTGGGAGCAATTATTAGGAAATGGAAGACATACAAGACCACTGATAATCTCCCTCGATCTGGGGCTCCACGCAAGATCTCACCCCGTGGGGTCAAAATGATCACAAGAACCACACGGGGGGACCTAGTGAATGACCTGCAGAGAGCTGGGACCAAAGTAACAAAGCCTACCATCAGTAACACACTACGCCGCCAGGGACTCAAATCCTGCAGTGCCAGACGTGTCCCCCTGCTTAAGCTAGTACATGTCCAGGCCCGTCTGAAGTTTGCTAGAGTGCATTTGGATGATCCAGAAAAGGATTGGGAGAATGTCATATGGTCAGATGAAACCAAAATATAACTTTTTGGTAAAAACTCAACTCGTCGTGTTTGGAGGACAAAGAATGCTGAGTTGCATCCAAAGAACACCATACCTACTGTGAAGCATGGGGGTGGAAACATCATGCTTTGGGGCTGTTTTTCTGCAAAGGGACCAGGGCGACTGATCCGTGTAAAGGAAAGAATGAATGGGGCCATGTATCGTGAGATTTTGAGTGAAAACCTCCTTCCATCAGCAAGGGCATTGAAGATGAAACGTGGCTGGGTCTTTCAGCATGACAATGATCCCAAACACACCGCCCGGGCAACGAAGGAGTGGCTTCGGAAGAAGCATTTCAAGGTCCTGGAGTGGCCTAGGCCAGTCTCCAGATCTCAACCCCATAGAAAATCTTTGGAGGGAGTTGAAAGTCCATGTTGCCCAGCGACAGCCCCAAAACATCACTGCTCTAGAGGAGATCTGCATGGAGGAATGGGCCAAAATACCAGCAACAGTGTGTGAAAACCTTGTGAAGACTTACAGAAAACGTTTGACCTGTGTCATTGCCAACAAAGGGTATATAACAAAGTATTGAGAAACTTTTGTTATTGACCAAATACTTATTTTCCACCATAATTTGCAAATAAATTCATTAAAAATCCTACAATGTGATTTTCTGGAGAAGAAAAATTCTCATTTTGTCTGTCATAGTTGACATGTACCTATGAGGAAAATTACAGGCCTCTCGTGGGAGAACTTGCACAGTTGGTGGCTGACTAAATACTTTTTTCCCCCCACTGTAGCAATCAAGGCTGCAAGCAGACCAAACCAGTCGCACACAGAGCAGTGCCAGACTACATCCCAATAGCCCACACAGTAGATTAGAGCACTCAATACTTCCATTTGACATCAGACAAACAGACCCAAAGAGCAAAAAAACAAGAGCTGAACATTCTTCAACCATGACCTAAATAGGATTTGCAGACAGTTCATCACACAGCTGGTTTCTGACAAGTCTTAACAGGTTGTGAAATATTTCTCTCTTCTCTCTGTTCCTATCTGCATATCTCTTTCTCTCTCTCTCTCTCTCGCTCTCCTCACTCCATCTTTCTGCTTCCCTCTAAACACAACGCTTCTCTCCGACCCGGCTCACCCCGTCTGTACATTCCTGTCCAAACTTAAACACAACACAACAGCCAATCACCATATTGTAATTACAAGCCCAGACTACTTACCCAAACACAGCAGAGAGGAGAGGATGATAGTGTTCATGTCCTAGGAGTGCGTGTGAGTGGTTGTGTTGGTGTGTTTGTGTATTCTGCGCTGACAGGCTAGTCTTCTGTCTCTGCTTCCTCTCCTCCTTAGGGGTTGGGTGGCAGCTTTTATAGACAACGCCTCAGTAAAGTGTGTGTGTGTGTGTGTGTGTGTGTGTGTGTGTGTGTGTGTGTGTGTGTGAGTCAGTAATGTAATGATTAACCTGCCCAAACTTAGGGGATGTATTTATGCATGTCATGTTCTTTGACACTTGGCTTCTGTTGGGAATAATAATGAGTGAGATCCTCACACTTTGTTCCGCACAGTCAACACACACACACACACACACACACACACACACTCACACACACACACACACACACACACACACACACAACAATTTATGTATTCTGTCCAGTCACTACATGTCATTAACACACAAAAAAAAAAAAACGTTCCACTTTCGCTAATGTTCCTACCTCCGGCCTTGTCCCTTTCTCTTCATATATTTGCTGAGGGTCAAGCCCTGTGAATAGAGCCGTAAAAAACTCAACAACAGCTGCATAATCTTTTCACACACACACACACACACACACACACACACACACACACACCCTGCTATGACACAAAGGTCCCAAAACACACCTGTAGTGTCTTTGCCAAGGGGGAAGTTGCTGTTGTAGAGGTCAAACAAGAGTTGTAGTATTATAGTATTGTTCAGGCGATTTTAAAGTTGTTTGATGAGTCAGTAGGGATATATTGTATCCCATACTCCACCTGATCTGCTGCAGAACGTCACGAATAATGCTTTGACTACATTTTCTTTCATGTGAACTTCAGGGAGAGTGTGGATACGTTACCTTGTTCCCAGCAAACTGGGAACCTTCCCAGGATATTTGCTAACATTCCCATTAAGTTCTAGTTAGGGTTTTTATCTATCATTAGGTTGATAACATCTCCCAAAACATCCAAATAATGTTTTTGATAACACATTTTTTTTCTTTTATTCTTCAGACAATGTTTTAAATTAAAAATCCTTGGAATGTTCACAGGATATTTACTAAAATGTTGTGCACAACATGCAACAACCACCACAGAACATTCCCCTAAGGTTCTTATTAGGTTTCCAGGTAATGTAATAACAACATTTGTTCTGGGAACGTTCTTGCAACATCAGGTGAATGTTTTATACAAACATTGTATAATCATCAGCACAACTGGACAGTTTATGTGTTATTAGAACTTTTGGGGCAACCTAATGAATGTTCTGGGAACGTTCACAGAACCAATTATGGTTTGCTGGGTTGTGTCTTCTCGATTACTTTGTCATACATAAATAAATAAAAATGTTCCCAACATGTTATTGGAACTTTCACGTAACAATATGACTGTAAGGTTTTAACTTTAGGATAACCTTTAGGGCCACAGATAGAACAATGAGCCAGATGTTTCACTGGATGTATAAATCTGAAGCATTCGGTTGGCGTTTCCATTCACCGCCAAATATGGTGCTGAGAGGAATCCCATTGGCCGGCAGTGGAAGAAGATGAAGTGAGATGGATTCTGGCCGACATTCTGCAAATTTTCTCATCGATTAAACCTTTGATCTCAATACAGTTTTCTGTTCCCAAAACTAAAATCTGTTCAGAACAGAGTAGACTAAGTTTTGTAGACTTAACCCTTTGCCAGAGTATTACAAAATTAAAGTTGTTTAGAAGGAGTGCAAGGGCCAATTGAGTTATTGCACACGCGCACTTCACAGAGTAGGCGTTCCCTAACGGAACTATGCAAATGCGTGCTAGAACGGGCCAATAGGATCTTGCTAGCTCATGCTTGGCTCTGCCCACCTCCTTGCTTGTTCTGCCCACTATGATTAATTTGCTCCGATTGGAAATAACAGGCTGTGGTCTATCTTGGGTTAGTTCTAAACATCTTTGACAGGGTGAGGTGGGGCTGTACTGTTGAGTTTGCTTGCTGTGATAATTTGTGACCTGCAGGGATAATTAGGTGTGGATTCTTCGTTACCTTGTTG